CTCTTTTGAAATTGCACATTGTTGAGATTGATTTCATAAAGGTTATCAGGGCGATTTTGTATACGAAGACTTATAAATTATCTTGAAGATAATCCGCTACAAGTTGAGTTATAGGTGAACTAATAGGGTAGAGACTAACATCTTACAGAGTTGAGTTGTTTCCATTGATGTGTGAGAACAGAACAGATGTGCATAGTGTGAAAAACTTCAAGTGTCCCCAAAATACTCTTTCTTGTTATTATATTATTCATATTAAATCAGTCGAATGTCTCGAGTAGTAAAAGCTGATGGCTCGGTAGGTAACACATGCTACTGCCGTGTAGACTCAGAGTCTGTGTACCTATATCCCATGCAAAATACTTTTATAGTGCTCATTGAAATGTACTTGATATCTTTTGACAATGGTGTGGCAAGTGCATCAACTTTTTTTTAATTTTGTGCTCCCACTGTATTAGTATTCAAACATACTATTCCGGAAAGCACTATTTTCTGGAAATCATGGAATTTGGAAGTGCTATTTATATTTACTGGGAGTAAGTAAGTAAGTAAGTATTAGGTATACAAATTCAAAGTAGTATTGAACGATGATCTTGAAAATGGTGTCTATTTAACTGGTGAAATACATCCATTTATGAAAAGAACTGTATTGTACTCTGAATATAGTTGATGTGTCAACTGACTGGAGGCTTGTAGTGATTTGCATTATAGATAGAACCTCAAATAAAACCATTGATTTGGTTGAGCCTTGAGAAAATACCCAGATTTTTCATCTTTGAGTACTGAAGAAGACGTTAGCCACTAAAGATATGCTACTGGTTGTGTACTTTAGATGATGATTTCGTTGAAGTGACCCTTCATAATCAAACTATTCAGGCATGAATTTATATCTAATCAGTATACAAGAACATATTCATGAAAACCGTGGTCTAATGGCCGTATTCTTCTGAGAACTCCATTATGCGTCAAATACCTTGTATAGAGGGATATCAATAACGTTCCTGAATTTATTGATATATTGGTCGCAATCAAACTCTTCTACATTTGTTGTTATGACTTCACCATGGATATTGATTGTGATCCATCTGATCAAAATGATCAGTTACCTTTGTTGTCAATGCATAGTTTTATATACTTATTGAACACTTCGTAAAACATAAGATGGAATATCTGTTTGATGAGGTACGTATGAAATAGGTAATAGCGCAGTGAAGGAGAACATGAGTAGAGACAATCGAATGTGTTTCCACACAAATGACAGAATCTTTATGTAAAATCTAAGTACTATACAGTAAAAAATACTTCATTTGCAAAATGTTAATTATTCGTCCCAGACTTCATTGTTCCTTCGTTTCCACACTAATCATTCTCTGTTCTCGTTCTCTATCCTTCAATCTTCTTAATTTTCTGCCACCAGACATTTCACTTTCCATTGATGGCACATACTACTTTTATCTGTTGACATCAGTAGCACATACCATATAAGGTTACTTAGTCCTATCAGGAGTCAAAGTCATCCCAACATGCCTTATAATGATCTCCTTTCTGTATGCTATTTGAAAAGACATAGATCAAAGTATTTGCGAACATTCTTTGTTTATTAACTTAACATTAACTGATTATTTGTAGCATTAATTAAAATTGGTCATTTAAAAATTAAATCAGATTGAAGCATGTGAGAATATCAGTAATACTGGAGCTTCATTTCATTTCTTCTGTGTATTATCTGAAACGAAAAAAAGCGTTGCTGATTATATACTGTTGGGGAGGTACAGAAAACTCCTCGAAAAAAGGCGCTGAAAACACTTAGAAGCATCTTATTCAATCAGCATTTAATAGGAGTTTTGTGAGAAACATCTAGAAAGTAAAAAGTCACATGTCGAGATTCTGATTGGATGATTATCTATACTGCTACTATGTTTAGCAGTGTTCCAGAACTTTCTGGGAATCCAAGAACATCTAAAATACTATAAGTTCCCTTCCCCCTCTAGGAGTAAAACGTTCCTTCCATACTTCACTCCTTTCCTCTCATTTTCAAGTTGCTATGTAGATTTAGTCTGTGGTTTACTAGACGTGCTTAGGAAACTGAACCTAATGTCCAATTAGAAGACTTATATAATGATAATTACTTACATACATACAATGTTCTTGTATTCAACTGACCTGAACTATGCTAAGAATATGATTTAGCTACTTATGGAATATATATTCCCTCTTCAGAACATGAACATCTCTCTCTCTTTCTCTGTGGTGAAAGAGGTTAGGCTGCATCGGAATTTAGATATCGTATCACTGTGTTGTTTAAATTTCATATCGATCACTTTCTGCTGCCATTCTCGTTTATTCAAAGTTTTTGTGAACTTTCGGTTGATAGGCTAGATTAGATGAACTTGTAATCTCATTACAAATATCGTAGTATATGGTACACTGTATTGAATTTAAAGTTTCATCAAAATACTGGTAAAAGTGAAAGATCCAGTAGGTTAAACATTCATTCACTTATTATGAAGCGATGTGTCGCTGATATTTTCATAGTTGAAATCATGAGTCAGTTGAAGCTAGACCATCATGGAAAACCTGGAAGCACTGAACAGCCGTTTCCTCCTACTATGCGACTCCTCAGCAGTGCGCATACGTGGTCTCACCTCGCCAGATTCAAACCCAGGACCTACTAGTTTCGTTCCAGAGCACTTAATCGATAGACCACTAAGCCGGCATCCAACGGTGTTGATGTCTAACTTCAATCAATTTATGAAATGATCAAATGATTATTGATAGTTTTGTCAATGATTATGTATGCCAATGAGTATCTGGTTGTCATCCACACTTACAAAATACTTTTACTTGAATGTGCTAATGCTAATCCGGATATAATGTAAAGCGATACTCACTCATTCATATTGTGATATGTGCTACAAATGTCAACAGATATAAGTAGTATGTATCATCAGTCGAAAGTAAAATGTCTGGAAGGTTAAGAAGATCGAAGGAGAGAGAACGAGAATAAAAAATGATTGATGTGGAAACGAAGGAACAATGAAGTCTGAGACTATTGATTAACATATTGCAAATGAATTTGCTGTATGGTACTCAGATTCTGCCAAGACGTTCTGCAATTTATGTGTACAATAACATTTGATTGTCCTCACTTTTGCTCTCGTTCACCAGTATATGGTCTATCGGTTAAGTGATCTGGCGCGAGACTGGTAGGTCCTGGGTTCAAATCTCGCGAGTGCAGGGTAGTGGATGCGCACTGCTGAGGAGTCCCATAATCGGACGAAACGGCCGTCCACTGCTTTCAGGCTTTCCATAGTGGTATAGCTTCAATTGACTCACGCGTTCACCAAGTTCATGAGTTTAATTGAAAATGTCACTGAAGTGTTTACCTTGATTCCTTCATTTCATTATTAATATCTGTGAGCAATTGATGTTTAACTGTAAACAAAGAAAATGACAAATAATTGGTCGTTAAAAGTGATGTCCGAATTGAATCTATGTTTTCTGAAATTCTAAGAATATAGTATGGATTCGAATATCTCATTGTGCCTACATCTGTCATCAACGATGGGATGATCATAAAAACGTGATCAAAATGTTGTAGAAGTTATATCGCGTATGCGCACTGCCGAGTAGTCCCATACTAGAACGACACGTTCGTCTAGCACTTCCAGGTTTTCCATGGTGGTCTAGCTTCAACGGACTCATGAATTGAACCATAAATATACTAAAATCTACACAAAACCCCTTCTGATAACGAAGGTCATAGTAACAACTGAATAATGATCATGAAAAATCGTTGGAGCATAATAATAACTGATTACAGTTTAAAATTAGGAAACACTAACTTATAAAGAAAACGATCAAAACATAATCCCGAAGGAAATTATACCCAAGGAGTGATGAGAGGTTGGACGTGTCATTTTCGCATACAGAATTTTGGCTTGATTTGACTTCCCTTTGATTCAGTTACTTTGATTGTGTAGACTGTTTTAAGGAAAATTCCTTCGGACCGACGTGTTCAGAGTTGATTAGATGCTCCTGTATTGAACTACTGACTGCTTTACATTCTCCTTTTAAAAGTAACGTTAAGTAATTTTCTGAAATGCGTTTGGATAGTGGTCTCTTTGTATGGCCAACCTAACCTTTCACACAAGAGCAAGTCAATGTATAGGTGCACATTGATGTGGCTCAATGCCAAATTTTATTCTTAACGCATCTATGAATGGTAGGTTGGCTTGAAGAGACAATACGGAAATGACCTGAATAGAAAGTTTTATTCAAGGATTTGGAAATCCGTTTGTTCAAGATGTCGCAGCCGTGTTTCCTTTAACATCGGTATTCATAAAGAGAGTTTTCGTTTGAAGTGTTCCTTATTTTTCAGCATGTTGTCTTGGTCTTAAGTTTCTATCAAAAAGTCTAGGAGGATAACCATTCCTGATGAGTATCTGTCGAAGGTGAATTGGTTTGTCATCTATTATGTCATGTTTGTCTAATCTTTGAAGATAAAGAATGAATTAAATTTCTCTTTCTACTCAATCAAACACAGCAACGGAAGTCTCTATACTGACCGTTAATGTTCCGTTTGTTATATATAGATCTTTGTACTGAACCATCTGACCTTCTTTTCAACTGGATATCAAAAGGAATTAAATTCCTCGCTCATGTCTGCTATCAGTGTGAATCGAAGCGAGTTATGACAATTGTTGAATCGATTCAAAATTCCATTGAGGTTCATATCTTCTTCACAAATAATAAAAGTATCATCAATATAACTCTTTCATACTTGAAATTTCTCAATTATGAGTCGAGGTACCTTATCTTCCGGACTGGCCATGAAATAATCAGTCAAGAGTGGGCCTAATGATGAACGCATTGCAACTCCATCCGTTTGTTTATAGAAATCATCATTAAATCTGAACCACATACTGAGAGTACATCATAGAAGAAGATCTTTTACATAATGTTTTGGGATACAAATATCAAAGTTAAATTCACTTTCTATTGTTTACTTGAATCTTCCCATTGATGTTTAAGACTGCAAATTGATCAGTCTTTTATTGACACATATGTACCCTCCGCGTTTACCTCGGTCAGTGGAAAGATTCAAACAGCCAATTAGAAAGTGAATTAAACTCTATCCAATTGCACAAATTAGTTACTAGCTAGACTAAGAATATAATGAGATGGCGTTTAAAGTGATTGATACTGGGTTCGAGTCCTAGAGTGGCCATCAAATCTGAGATGCAGGTACATACAATTGACGAGTCCCAAATAGGATGAAACGCGCGTCATACTGGATTCCACTACTAGCCACTATCTATCTTACATTATATGTTCATCTACAAATTGACTTACATAAATGGTAATTATAATAACGAATACGTATTTCTTTGTGAACTATATCATTATAAAGTGTATCAATATCTAGAAAATAAAATTAAAACAAAATTTAATCTTTTCTCGTGTATTGTTCTATTTTAAAGATCAAATCAATAGTTACAAAGAACCAAATGGATTCCATCCAATCAGATTCTTGAAATCACTGAATGATAACTGCTAGGATCTATGTATGGATTATTGATCACTTGGGTGGTGATCAATATCATGTATGTCAAATCCTTCCTAGTTCAGATCGAATGCTATCGACTTGACTGTTATTAGTTATTATATTCTTAGGGTATATAATCACTAAGTGACTCGATTGTATGTATTCATATCCCCATCATTATAAGCTTCTATTCGACTATTCCTAAGTTATTCCCAATCTATTAGTTACAGTCTCTCATACAGTCACAGCCACTTTTTGGCCTGATCTTGTATAACCCTTATCTTCTATTTTATGGTATGATGCAGTCTGATTTACTTGTATATACGAACCAAGTATGTTTGAAATACTCTATTCATACAGTGGAAACTGAGATTGTGTTCTGAACTGAATGATGCATCTGTGTTAGGTGAGAAACTACTATCTCAATGAACCAATAAGAACTCAGAGTTGACTCTAAGCTGCTCTTACAGGTTTTTATATGTCAGTAGTCTGGTCAATAAATCAGTCAGTAATCATATGACGCAATACATTGACAAGACTAAAAGCTATAACACTATCAAATTAAATCTGTAATGAATTCATGGAAATAACAAGTAGTATGATGTGTTCTACTGACATTGACAGTTATAAGTAGTATATATCATCAATCGAAAATGAAATGTCTAGTGATAGTAGTTGGAGAATATTGAAGAAAAGAGAACGAGAACAGAAAATGATAAGTGTGGAATTCAAGAAGCAATGAAGTTTGAGACAATTGATTGACACTTTGCAAATGAAGTATTTGCTGCATAGTACTCAGATTCGACTGAGAGATTATGTAATTTTGTGTTCGAATACATTCGATTGTCCCTCACTTGTGTTCTTGTTCACTACAGTATTACAAATAAGTATTCTGTCAGTCGTAAATAATGATAATAAAACTTATATAATTATGATGAGTTGTACAGAAAGACGTCAGTCAGTCAGTCAGTCACAACGTAGAACTTCGTACGTACGTACGTACAACAACTGTATTACTTACCTGGTGGTCCCAGGATATATGAGCAATGCTTCGAAGACACCTATGATCGAATACTAGTAGCTTACGAATATCCTCTACGTCAACAATGACTGAATAAGTTCAGGGTTCAAAGAAGAAAAATAAAGCATTCATGATATACTACTCAAAATTACCTTGATTTCTATTTGTTATATATCCAATGCAAATATGCACCAAGTAAGTATCTTTCATTTCTATTCAAATATGAAAATAATATAAAAGTTACTAGAACGAATAGACTCAATATTGATGTAGAAGTTGAAACGTTTTTCTAATTGAATGAACTTCTAGTTACCTATAGGCTTAATTTACACAGAGAAATAGCGGGAAATATGGAAGAAATGCGTTACTCCAAGGTTTGTTAATGTACAGGATATCTAGGGTATTTATAGTATTTAAGATGGCCTTGGGTTTCTGGAAAATTCTGGAACGGTACTAAAGATAGTAGCAGTACAGATAATCATCCAATCAGAAACTTGACATATGAAATATGACGAGAGTGAGTAGACTCAATATTGATGAAGGAGTATTCTTTCATTGAAATGAAAATCATGGTCCATCTTCAGTGACAACATATTAACTTACTTACCAGTGTCGTTTCTTCAACACTGGTATATCTGAGTATTTGAATATAAAATATGGCTAATGCATTTAGATCTTTAACTGAAGTATATCTTCGCCTACACGAACATCAACTAGCAGTCAAACGCCATGACATTTCTTCACTCATATCAATACACGTGGACAACTACGGACAACTACATTCGACTGGAAAAATGTGGAGATTTTGGATAGAGGCAATTCCAAAAACACCAGAGAATTTTTAGAATCTTGGAACTTAGGTCAGTCAGCAATAAACAAGCACATTGAAATCAATCCAATTTATCAACCAATCAGGAAAATTGTGCACAAACATAGGAACAAAATTTAAACCAATGGGAGATGCAACCAAAACAAAGAAATAAACAATGACAGATTTAAGGTCAATAAGAATCAGTCAACATCGAGGTGCACAAAACAAGCTGTGAATCACATGTGGAGAAATTCAAACACTTCACTTCTACCCGAAGTTTGTGTTGATGATGTCGTTCAGAAGGACGATGAAAGCTCCACGACCAAACCATCCAGCTCAGAGAACAAACCTACATCAAAATCACCCACCTGAGCTACAAATCTTCTCCACCATCTCGAAGCATATCTTCTTATAACTCACGATACATTATCATTACCACATAGTTACATGATTGAATGAAGTATTTTCATGTATTCAGCTTATCAAATGACCAATAATTTATTCAGCAAATGATTTCGAGTAAGCAATGACATGTAAACATAAGTACGGGTAACTTCCTGGGCCTATTAATGGACTTTTATTCTATGTATATTCTTATTGCTTAACTATTGAGTAATTAGATTGCTTATATCTAGATTCATCTTATTATAAGCTTCATTTTGATCGATGAATTATTAGTATACGATTTACTGTCCCTAAATTATATTCAGTTTATTGATTATTGTCCCCATGTTCACAGCCATATTTGGCCTGATCTTGAACAAGTGTTATTTCCTATTTTATGGTGTGATGCCGTCTGTTTGTCTGGTATATAAATCGAGTATTACTAACTTACTTACATACGCCTGTTACCCCTCGTCGAGGAGCATAGGTTGACCTCCAGCATTCTCCATCCAACTCTGTGGTGTGAGCTACTGATATCGACATAAGTAGTATATATGGTGAGTAAGGAATAGAATATCTGACAGCAGAAGATTGAGAAGATCAATAAGAGAAGAACAGAAATAGAAAGCAATTTGTGTGGAAATCCAGGAATAATGAAGTCTGAGGCAATTGAAGAACATTTTGCAAATAGTGTATCATAGCATGGTTTTTGTATTTTACCAAGTAACGTTGTAAGTTGTGTTAAATATATAGTTGGTTGTCCTCACTTGTGTTCTCACTCACAACATTTGGTGTCGCTGCCTCCAAGGATGAAGATTCCATGTTAGAGGTATTGGGCGTGTCTAACAGTATCGTAAAAGTGGATGGTTCGGAGATAAATTTTCCGTTCGTGGTAACCGCAAACCTGTCGAGACCAATATTAGGAGCAGATTTCCTAAGAGAAGTAAAAGCCATAGTTGACCTAAGAAGCGGTAAGGTGGTCACGAAGTATGGTTCATTCTCAATACATGCAAATAGTGAGGTGGCTGAGGTTAGAGTGGCAACAGCCGTTGTGACGAAGAAACCAAACATAACCGAGTTGTGCACAAAGTATGCGGAACTGTTTACTGGAGAAGGAGAACCGTACGGATTTTGCGACAAAGTAAAGCACGAAATCCCGATAAAGAACAATGGAGGAAGTATATTCACAACACGTTGTGTCCCTGTGCACTTAGAGGCTGAAGTAAATCGACAGGTCCAAGAGATGCTGAAAGAAGGAATAATTGAGGAGGCGGACAGCCCGTATAGCTCACCGGTACTCTTGGTAAAGAAACCGAATGGGAAATATAGATTTTGTGTTGATTTTAGAGAACTGAATAATATAACCGAACTAAAGCCGTGTGCAAACATTAGAAGTGGAAACATTAGATCGGCTGCAGAATGCCACGGTGTTTACAGTGTTGGCTTTGCGGTCAGGTTATTGGCAGCTTCCTATAAAAGAGAGCGATCGAAGCAAGACAGCATTTACCATACGTGATAAACAATATCAATTTAGATGAATGCCGTTCGGATTGGCGGGCGCACCATTTACGTTCAGAAGATTAATGTCGCTACTGCTCAGGGATCTAGATAACGTCGAAGTGTATGGCGACGATGTAGTCGCATACAGCCAGACAGAAACAGATCATGTCAAGCATGTGGAAGCGGTCTTAAAGCGAATTGAAGAATTCGGACTTCGAATTAATAAGGACAAGTCACAGATGGCGAAAAGTAGCATCACGTTGTTGGGGCATAAAGTGGGAAATGGAGAAATAAAACCACTGCCGGAGAAAATTCTGACTATAAAGAACGTTGCAGTACCGAATTCGAAAAGGAAATTGAGACAGTTCCTGGGAAGGGCGGCGTTCTACAGTCGGTTCATCAAGAATTTCAACGAAATAGCAGCACCCCTTTATAAGTTGTTGAGTAACACTAAATTTTCGTGGACTGAAACCGCCCAACAAACGTTTAATCAAATCAAAAACATGCTGGACGACCGCCAGATGACGCTCAGACTGCCCGAACTGGAGAAACCGTTTACAGTGACAACAGACGCAAGTGACCATGGTATAGGTGCCGTTTTAAGTCAGTCTGATAGAGTAGTGGAATACGCAAGTCGCGTTCTCACGCCTGCCGAACAGAAGTATTCAACGATCGAAAAGGAGTGTTTAGCGATTGTGTGGGCAGTAGACAAGTGGAGACCATATCTGTTAGGTAAACGATTTCACATCGAGACTGACCATAAACCTCTGCAGTGGCTACAAACAGCACGAGACCCACGTGGGAAGTTGGCGCGATGGATGATACGTCTGCAGGAGTATGACTTCAGTATCGGGCATGTTCCAGGGAAGGAAAATGTAATGGCGGACTATCTGTCAAGAACAGACATGGAAGCCGAGCTTCCATTGACAGCATACGCAGTGAACAGTATAGAGGGAGACCCACTAGAACTCGTCCGGCAACAGAAATCTGATCCTAAACTGCGAGAGGTAATCAGAGTGATAAGAGAGGGGGCAGATTTTGACAAACGAGCAATGGACAAGGAGGCAATAATGTTGCTTCGGCAAAAGGAAAGACTGAAAGTGAACACATATGGAGCTCTGGTCTGGCAGGATGATGACAAAAATTGGGTGGCTGTGGTCCCGAAAGACTGGCGGCGTAAGATGATACACGAATGCCATCAGGTAGCGCACACAGGTATCGCAAGAACGACAGATTTACTACGGCAAAGTGCATACTGGCCAGGCATGAGAGACGATGTGGCCCAATATGTGTTGACGTGCCAGCAGTGCCAATTAATGAAAAGCGATAGATACATGCAACCGCCATTGCAGTCGGTCCCAGTAACCGCAGTTGGTGATCTATGGTCGGTAGATGTGATGGGACCATTTCCACAGACGGATAGCGGCAACCGATACTTACTAGTAATGACGGAGCATGCTACACGATGGGTCGACGCTGTACCGATTGCCGACCAGCGGGCGAAAACAGTGACCGAAGTAATAATCCGGCACATTGTAGCAGGTCATGGAGTACCGAAGATGATACTAACCGACCAGGGTCCCTGTTTTGAAAGTGACGAGTTTAAGGCCCGTTTGAAGCAGTTCGGTATCAAGAGGATACGAACTACACCGTATCACCCTCAGACGAATGGGCTTACGGAAAGAAACAACCGGACATTAAAGGAATGGTTAGCATCTAAAGGAGGGAATTGGGAGAAAGAGTTACCACTAATTTTGCTGGCGCATCGTGCCTCCATCCAAGGAACAACTAAGAAATCACCTTTCCTACTTATGTATGGTAGACAGCCACGACTTCCGATGCATAATAAGACGTGGCCACAGCAGCAGAAGTGGACGGCAACAAGATTAAGGAAAGAGAGGACGGAGGCAATAAAGAACGTGAAAAAGAAACAAATATCAGACACCAAGAAGGCGGAACAGCAGAGAAGAGCATGGAAGCCTTTTAGAGTGGGGGACCTGGTAAAGTGTAGAGAACGGAGAGCTAACACTGAAGGGGGACCAAGGTCAGGAAAGCTGACCCCGAAATGGGAGGGACCGTACATTGTCACGAAGAGACGCGGCCCAGTTTACACGATCCGGAGAGAAGACAAGCAGAAGCGTGTAAATGCCAGTCAACTACAGAGATGGTTTCAAGAACATCATGAGCACGAGTCACGAACAGCACCAAAGGAGACAATGGTACGGCGATCAGAAAGATTACGAGAACAGCATATTAAAAGGGGGGACGAGTGTGGTGTGAGCTACTGATATCGACATAAGTAGTATATATGGTGAGTAAGGAATAGAATATCTGACAGCAGAAGATTGAGAAGATCAAGAAGAGAAGAACAGAAATAAAAAGCAATTTGTGTGGAAATCCAGGAACAATGAAGTCTGAGGCAATTGAAGAACATTTTGCAAATAGTGTATCATAGCATGGTTTTTGTATTTTACCAAGTAACGTTGTAAGTTGTGTTAAATATATAGTTGGTTGTCCTCACCTGTGTTCTCACTCACAACAGTTTGTCCTCTCCTACGCAAGGCTGTTGCTGATGGTCTCCAGTCAGTGAATGTTGAGTATTTTGCGTAAACAACTGTTCATAAATACTTGTACCTCCTTGACGATGGATGTAGTATTTCTCCACGTTTCCATAGTAGGACTGTCTTGATGTTATAAACCGATTATGCATGAAATAAATGATTCGCGATTGGTGTTTTTGAACTCAATTGGAAGGGCTAGGCGGACAAGACACCAATAAGGACACTAGACGGCTCATACTGGTCGAACGTCATTGTTTTGTAACAATGTTAAGATTGGAAAAGTCGTATTCCGATCGGTGCATAATCCATGTTTATAATAAGATGAATATAGGTATACACAATCTAATTACTCAATAGTTAAACAATAAGAATATATACAGAATAATCGTCTATTAATAGATCCTGGAAATCCCCTGTAGCTCCTCCGGGGGCTACTGCCGGTCCCAAGCCCGGGTAAAGGAGGAGGGTTGGGCATGGGGTTAGCCACCCATCCCGTAGAAAACCAACTCGCTAGAAAAACGCTAACCAGAAAAAATTATTCAAATCATTTAAACTCTGCCCTGAGAGTAGAAGGAATAATTATGATGATGAAAGTCGAATTCCTTCGGAAGTCATGAGGTCGATGCACCTTCTAACAACCAGAGCGATAATTTTTATAGGTACATAGAATGTCCAGACAATGTGAGAGACCGGAAGAGTCTTCCGAATTGCTGCAGAAATGAGAAAATACAACATGGAGGTGCTTGTAATCGGTGAAACACATTGGACACAGGTCGGACAACAATGACTATCTTCAGGGAAACTTCTGTTATACTCTGGTCATGAAGAAATAGATCGTGGAAGTTACCCGTACTTATGTCTTCACTAGGATATAGCAATTAGAATGACATTATTGAATCATTCAATTAATTAAATAAGTAACATATACATGTGCTTATTTCATCTATAGACCTTACTTTGAAAGATTTGTTGTTGTTCATGAATACATGACGTCCATGTTTTAGATTTGTTAACATTGTATTCTATGTAATATGAATCAAATTGAAAGATTATAAGTACATGGATGTCTAATCAAAAATATTATAAGTAGAAGGAGGTTTTTGTGAAGATTTAGTATTTTCATAGTTGAAAGCGTTAGTCAATTGAAGCTAGATTACCAGGCTAAACCTGGAAGCACTGAACGGCCGCTTCGTCGTATTGTGGTAGGTCCTGGGTTCGAATCTCGCGAGGCGAAGTTGTGGATGAGTAATGTTGAGAAGTCCCACAATAGAACGAGATGGCTGTCCAGTGCTTCCATGTTTTTTCCTGGTGGTCTAGCTTCAATTGACTCACGCTTTCAACTATGAAATTATTATAAGTCTCTATGAATCAATTGTATTATAGAATTATGTACTCCATAAGAAAATATCTATTTGATTACATAAATAATGGTACAAAGGGACACTGTATACATATAAGCCACACAAGTTACTTGATTTGTGTGAATGATGTGATACTGTACGAGTGCCCAAACCAAAGCAAGTGGTTTTCTTAGAAAGCCATTCCTCGAACCTTCGACCTAAGGAACTGATCCACATATCAGTGGATCAATGTGAGGAGATTCAGGCCCATGGTATTCGGCGATCAATAAATGGTTAATACGCCTTTTGTTCCTTCAGGATACCGGAGCCATATGCAAAATTGGTTTGTAATCAGGATTTTCCAAATCCTGTAGATGAATTCTCCACATCCCCAAACCCGGTGAAAGCCTCTGCCAGACATTCACTTTTCGTCCAATGAATTTCGTAGACAACATTAATCCCACGAGAAATCAGTGAGTAGGATTTTCGTGTCAGTGGCTTTATACGTGTGGCCATGTGAGAGCATTTGAAGAGGGGAGATGGACTCGTCTCATCCTCAGCTATACTAGGGCATTTTGAGGGCAATACGCAACATAAATAAATACTTTGTAAAATCTCTTTTTTATATCACATGTTGATATGAGAAAACCTACGATTGTATTTTTCTCGTTTAGTTTGCATTGTGTATTTCACATCTAAAACATTCAAAAAGTAAACTGTTACCAAGTGATATTGAATCATGAGCATTATAAACTAAATGGATAATGAGATGCTGTTTAAAACGAATGGTACTAGGTTCGAGTCTCAAAGTGAACCTCAACTCTAGGTTGCAGTTATAACCAGCTGACGAGTCCAAGATAGGACGAAACGCATTTCCTACTTTTCACTACTAACCATCATCATCTCTACTTATAATAAATGTTAACACATTAGATCTATATTACACAATACGCTTAGCTTTATTGTAAAAGAACCAAAGTTGGTTTAATTATTAGTATGGGGATTTGTAAAGATTGTAGTTTTTAACCTGAAAGCACTAGTCAACTAGTCGAATCAACTTTGTTAATTAATAAAATTCTATATCAGTATTTAAACAATATTAGGTAACTAGCAGTGGAATCCAGGAAGTGCGTTTCGTCCTATTTGAGACTCATCAGATGGATGTATCAAGCTTGTGAATTAAGCCAATATCGAAGTAATGCGTATAGTATACACATATGTCTAATAAGAGACTGATCAATTGCAGTCTGGCACATCAATGGAAAGATTCAAACAAACAATACCAAATGAATACCAATAGTTATAAACTGTCTATTCAAACCTTTTATAAGTTCTAATCCCAATTCACCTGCACTCATTTTACTTGCACAATCAATAACTACAATCAGAAATTATAATTAGATAAGAAGAAATTCTTATATCATATACATTGATCGATAGTTTTGTTTTCATTTTTGAACTTTTCATTTATCAGATCTGGTAAAACAAAAGAAAACGACGACAACTCATAATGAAACGAATTGTTTTGAAAGTAAAAGAAGGCGGTATTCATGTTGTTCTATAAACAAATCGGGTGCCGGCTTAGTGGTCTAGTGGTTAAGCGCTCACACGTGAGACTGATAGGTCCTGGATTCAAATCTTGCGAGGTGGGATCGTGGATGCGTACTGCTGAAGAGTTCCACAATAGGAAGAAACGGTAGTCTAGTGCTTCCAGGTTTTTCGTGGTGGTCTAGCTTCAATTGACTCATGATTTCAATTATATAAAATTACTCAAATTTACACAAAACTCTATTCTTAGTTAGTTACTTATTGTGTATGATGTGATCTCTCCCTATTGAAATATTGTATGAATTCATTAGTACAATGAATATAGTGACAAAATTATTTAGTTACTAACCTGATTAACAATTGATTAGATTATTCAGCATTATTAGTTACTTACATAATAGTTGAATCCATGAGTCAAATAAAACTAGACCACCATGGACAACCTGAAAACACTTGACAGCCGTTTCGTTCTAATATGGGACTCCTAGGCAGTGAGCATCCACGATCCTACTTGCGGGACTTAAGCCCAGAATCTATCGTTTTCGCGAGTGAACGCTTAACATCTAGACCACTGAGTTAACATCGAACGGTGTTAATGCCTAACTTCAACCAATCCACGATATCGCGCCACCTCCTACCATTGTGTTCAGTGAGTTATTTTTCACAACAGACCTAGTTGAACTCCACCAGTCACGGCTACTCACTAAAACTCCAGGAAATACCTCCTGAAGCCAATCACTAGTGATCACATGATGATTAATATCAGATATTTTTCCAACTATGTAGATCAAATCTTAAATACAAGAATGGATATTTAAATACGTATATTCTGTACACTCATTAGTCTGGACGAAGCGAAGAGAAGGGAGCGAAGTGAAATAACGCTCAATGATGATGTCGAATGAACCAACTCAATTTAGTCAAGCATGATTTTATCTATATAGTTGAACGGAAATGTGTTACAGACATATGATAAGTAAGATAAGAAATGAACATACATATGCTTACATAAAAACAGTCAATGTTGATAAGCGAATAAGTAGTTGAGGTAGAATGAATAAACTGGCCTGTCTGTAAGCTAGAACTACGGGCTTAATATAGTAACTGACACTACGACTCTATCATTGTTAAATGAGTTGATCATACACTACAAAAACTCATCATCAATGTGACAGACTAAAATTGCTCAATCTTAAGAGGAAATTATCACAGTTAAGGATGAGACTACAATTTATGGACGACATTTGAGCGACACTAGAGTAGTTACCATGAGAGCGTCCGCATACTAACTGTGACCAAATGAAAGTTATAAACCTGTGTGAGGAATTCGAATTATGATTTATAGTTCATGGTTAAGATTACGAATTATACTAAGGATTTTCATCAAGAACTGACATCAGTTATAATGCTGAAAGTCTATTTATCCAAATGGATGAGTGAATTCCGAGCCAAAATCCAACACCTATCATCTTATACCTGATTGGTTCGTTTATAAATGATGGTCTCGTCCAGTTTACTTATTTACATTCATTA